GGAGGGAAGAACTGCTGGAGCTTTGACACATCGACGGCGAGGTCAACTTGGCACTGAGGGCACCGGAACCTCGCGAGGCCATGAGGCACGTTGAGGATGGCCTTGCAGTTGGCGCAGGGATCTGGATCTTCGAGGGATCAACGCCGTGAGGCGCAACATGGGGCGGTGGAGGGCGGCAGTGGAGGCGGAGTGCGGGCCTTGTTGGGCCCAGGGTGGGCTTGGGCATGGGCCTGGGCTCGGGTCATGAGCTCGGGCGGCAGCATCTGGGGCAATTGGCAGTCGTCGCAGGCGAATTCGGTGACCCCCGCGTCCAAAGTCAGGATCTTGGCGCAGCCGGCGCAGCGGACCTGCACTCCGCGCCTGGGGTTCCGGCGGTCTGCGATTGCAGTGGGACTGGCGGAGGTTGATGCTGCTGCATCATGGTGGATCAGTATCTCCGCCCTCCTCCTCCTCCTCCTCCTCCCTTTGCTCTCAAACGGCTCAATTGTTCAGGAAATGGTTTGGATTGGATTGAGAGAGAAGGAGGTTAAGGCGCGAAGAGAGGGTTTGGGAGTTTCGGGGTTTCCCACTTTCTTTCTGTGTCTGCGTTTTTTGCCTCGGTGGACCGTGTAAATTATGGAGACCAAAGTGACGATTGAGATTTCGTTCTATCTCGCACTTGTCTCAGCCTGGCACGTGCACTAGCACGTGACCTTCCCATTTTCATTTCTTTTTCACCAAGCACGTCAATAACTTGTAACTCGAGCGGTTTAAAAACTTTTATTCTAAACTCAGATTGAACAAATTTGGACAAAGAAGAAACAAAACAACTTATTACTACGATAAACTATTGTTGAAAAAAACGTTACTAGTTACTTTCCACATCCACAAACTCCATTAATTTTGACATCTAAGTGCCACTTAGTATTACAATCTAGTAGTATATTCATCTTCATTTGTAAGTGAAAAGTTTTAGGTTTAATTATCGTCAAGGCGAATTTGACCTACATTATTGTTGGTTCATTATGAGGCTTAGTCTACTTTCACATCCATTTAATGTAACTAATATCGTTTGTTAAAAAAAAATGTAACAATGCAAACAGAAAAGTATTCCCAAAGCATCTCCATGTGATGGTTATATTTTTGTATCTTGTATGATTTTGATGAGAGAAATATCATAGTCATAGTGTCTGTAATGCATCCTAGGTTTTAGAGATTTGATTGGACATTTTTCAATGTGGACTTTCATGGTTAATGAATGAGATAACAGGACTCATTGCGTATTTAGTAATTTTTTTACTGTTGCTAGACCCATCGCTCTACTCTTATTTTTCACTCACGTTATACTCACCTCACATATAATGTTAAAACATAAAAATATTGTTTTTCCACCCACAATATTACTAAAATTTTAGGTGGCTAATCTAACATCTAATCTAACAAAATCTATTGTTAAAAATAAAAATAAAAAAAATAAAATAAAATAAAATAAAAAAACTAACCAACCCACAACACCCCCTCCCTTATCCCAAAAATCATAGTCCTAGGACCACCTTTTAAAATCCTAGACCCTCTCCAACCTACATCCCACCCAGAAACCCAGTAGCAAAACCACATCCCTAAGAGGCTAAGACCACCGGATGCAGACCTAAACGGCGCATATTTACGAGGAAAATAGAGACTGGGAGAGAGAAAAAGAGAAAAGAGAGGAGATTAAGAGAGGGAGAAAGAGGAGGCGATGAAGAGGGGGAGAGAAATGAAGCAATGAGTTTTCATGTCATCAATTTGGCTCTGCCATGAGGGATGCATATGGGTGGACTTCTCGTTGTGCGATGGGGTTTTTGTTATTGGTTTTTCCTTTTTTATGTTTGATATTCTAGTTTTCTTAAATATATGACTCGCAAAATATAATTGGTTAATATATACCTTTTAACAAAATATATTGTTTGACAAAAAAAAAAAAACCAAACCTACCCACAACACCCCCCTCCTTATCCCAAAAATCATAGTCCTAGGACCACCACCTTCTAAAATCCTAGACCCTCTCTAACCTACATCCCACCCAGAAACCCAGTAGCAGAAACCACAACCCTAAGAGGCTAAGACCACCGGATGCAGACCTAAACGACGCATATTTACGAGAAAAATAGAGACTGGGAGAGAGAAAAGGAGAAAAGAGAGGAGATTAAGAGAGGGAGAATGAGGAGGCGATGAAGAGGGGTAGATAAATGAAGCAATGAGTTTTCACGTCGTCAATTTGGCTCTGTCGTGAGGGACGCATGTGGGTGGACTTCTTGTTGTGCGATGGGGTTTTTGATCTTGGTTTTTCCTTTTTATGTTTGATAATTTAGTTTTCTTAAATATATGACTCGCAATATATAATTGGTTAATATATACCTCCTTAGTGGTAATTTTCAAGGGGGGTTAAAAAAATCGAAAACTGAAAAAAACCAACCCAAACTCTGAACTGAAACCAAAAATTCGAACTGAATTAAACAAAACTAAATCGAACTGAAATGATTTGGTTTGGTTTCAGTTTTAGTAGTTCAGAAACCAAACCAAACCACATTAAATATAATTACTTTTATTTATTTATATTGAATATTTATTTTCTAAACCCAATTTTAAATCAATCATTAATATAATTTTAGGCCCAAATATGTTGAAAACTTCAAGCCGAATAGAAATCCCAAACAAAAAACTTATGTGTACATAATTCAAGTTTTCTTTGTTGTGTATTCATTTGCGAGAAGCTTTATTTGTATGCATGTTTTCTTGGATTTATTCTTGTATATTTTTTATACTTGGAGATTTGGATGGTTATGGTTCAGTGATCTCCTCCACTGCAATTGAGTGAACAACTCCATTGCAATTGGCGTCAATGGTGTACTTAAAAAAACTGAGGAAGTTGAAAAAAAAAAAATTGTACCAAACTACAAAAGTAACAAGCAATTTGTGACTCAAAAAACTCAAAATTAACACTGATGGTAATTACTAACTGGTTAAGTTTTTCAGTAAGGCAGTGTTTTGTGTTCCATATCTGATTGTTGTCAATAGCTGTCATTTGAAAGTTTCGTAGAAATAAAAATAACAATCGAACCAAACCAGAAAAAAAATCGAACTAAATCAAAACTTTGGTTTGGTTTTCGATTTCGATTTCGATTTCGGTAAAAAACTAAATAGATTGAAGTCGAACCCACCCATAGTCTTTTCATAGGAGGATAAATTTATCATTAAAAAGTGGGTGAGAAAATAGGATTGAGAGGTGGGCATAACACCACTCTTTTTTCTGATTAAGACAAGAATAAGAGGCTCTATTTTGTTTATTTTGAAGAGAAATATCTGAAACTACATATATCCTTTAGCGATGCATTTGTTTGCCTTCACTAGATTGGAATGGCTTAGCTACGGTTACTAGTCCGCGTTTGATGCAAGCAAAAACTGATCTTATGAGATTAAGTCATACTCGATTAAATGCTTCATTAGGTGGTCTTAGCGGCACCTCTTGAACAGTAGAAGGCTTGCTAAGACCGTTTCGCCCTCGTTTGCACCGCTTCACCTTGTTTGCTTTGTACCTCAGAGCACTTCCATCATGCTCTTTAGCCCTGTAGACAGGCTCCATTTCCAATCCAATTACCCCCCCCCCAAACTAGCTTTAGCCTATTCGGGCTATTGGGCTAAGGGGGAGCCCGTGGGAGAGGGCAGGCGGGAGTCTAAAGCCCAAGTGTCTGATGGGAAGGGACGTCATCAAAAGGTCAACCATGTTCTGAAAAAATTTGCGCCAGGCACGTGGGCAACATGTGCGAGTAAGGGCGCGTCTTGGGCATATTTTCAAACGATAGGGCTTGCGTGTTAGTCCCACTCAGTTACTTTGAACTTGGACTGTTTGATTTCCAGATCAACTGTCCAATTTTTTAGGCTTTAAAAATTTTTTTTAGAAAAAGAAAAAAATCAGAAATGCCACGTGTCTCATTTTAGACTGTTGGATTTCAAATTTTTTGTAATCCAACAATCCAGATTAATTAAGTTAATAAATTTAAATATAAAAAAAAGTATTTAAAAACCTGAAAAAAAATTTAAAAAAAATTATAATTTTTTTTATATAAATACGTTACCATTTTCTCCCACCTTACACTACATTTTAATATTTTCAACGATTCTAAATAGGTAAGGACATGTCGCGTGACGGAATTGGTTTTCGAAATCTATTCACAAAAATCATACTTTCGGATAATGACATGTGGCATGATGAGATCGGTTAAAAATCTTATTCGAAATTTAAATTTAAATTAATTTTTATTATTTTATAAATTAAAAAATACTAATATTTTATTATTTATTGGCTATTCAGTTTATGGGTGGAGATGCAAAAGGCAATTACTGTTCATTAAAGGCAGTTACTATTTAGTGGAGGAGATTCAATTGCCAATTGTCATGGGGGCCTTCCTACACTGGAAGTGCTCTCATGTGCAACCACAACTTCTTGAAATCATTTGCAACCACATCTTCTTACTCGAAACATTCTTGGGTGGATCGAGTTTTGAGAGTTTGTGACTGCTAAGTTAGGGTTTTGAGGTTTCCTGATAAAAATCATTTGTTGCCAGCAGCATCGAACATGTTTCTAGTTTACATCTCAAAGACGAGAATTTTTTTTATTGTGACAGAAACACGGATGGTACATCATGTGTTTTTATGTAAGTAGTGGAAAATTTTATTTTTTAAGTTATTAACTTTTTAACACACATTTCCCACTATTTGTATAATGACACGTGATGTACCACCTCGTGTGCCGATCACACTGAAAAATATCTCCTCAAAGACGCCCACTTTATATTCCCCAATATTTCTTCTACATTTGCTTCCAAAAATACGAGATTAGTGATTGGAAATGTAAAACCCTCACATTTTTTTCTTCAAATCCAGTTGCTTTACCAACCCATCACCTAAAAAATCCAAGAAAACCAACACAATTTCAATGTCGATTACCTCATAAACTCATGTGGGTTGTACACAAAACTTGCAAGTTCAGCCCCAAAGGCTTATCAGGTCGCACCTGAGAGTTCTGCTAGCATTTTCGAAGAACCTTTTTGCCAAAGCTAAAGTTTTTCAGTTCCCTTGGAGTTTCCCGGGAGGAGCTTGTTAGCATCAAGAAAGAGGGAAGTTTGATGGGAAAATAGGGTAAAAAGATGGAGAGCTTATGAGAGAGAGATAGAGAGTTCTAGAAAGAGAATTAATTTTTATTATCTT